GGCACACCTCGCAGAACTGGGAATCGCATTCCAAAAACGAGCTACTTGATAGGAAAACGAGCACTGAAATTTTGACGATCTATGCAGCGGAACTGTAATAGAAAATCCATGCCTAAGATTCAAATTGTGTACATCAGTTCTGAAGGTAATCTTGCGAGAAAGATAAGGAGGTTTACCAGAAATAATAATCCCATGAATAAAAGACAAGTAATGAAAAACAAATCTCTGTCGCATATTCAGCCAACCACAATTCTGAAGAGCTTGTGAGACGTGATCACCTCTCCTCAATTTATAAATAAAGCGAAGACACGAATTCTGCACGACCTGAATTCTTCTCAAACTCTCAAAAGATAGACATGGACCAAATACAACGTTACAATAATTAAAGTGAGACAAAACTAGAGCATCACAGAGAAGGCGTTTGAGCTTTATCGACAAAAACATTTTACTAAAATAGAGGCTTCTAAGGGACCCATACGCGCGCCTACATATCAACCTAATGTGATCACCAAAAGTAAGCCTATCATCAATGACAACACCCAAACTCTTGACCGAGTCCACCACTCTTAATTGCTCCCCTAGCATACTAATGTTAATGTCATTTTTATTAACAGATAAGTTACCCTTTTTAGTAAATAAGATGCATTGGGTCTTGTCAGGATTGATCACAAGAGCATGCCTTTGTATCTCCACACATAAGTGACCCAATTCCTCAGTAATTCTGTCACATGCATGAGGCAACTCATCAGGTATGAGGTCGAAATACAGCTGTGTATCATCCGCATATAAGTGATAGGAACATAAGGTTAATTTTGAAAATAAATTGCTGGTGAATATACTAAATAAAAGTGGACCCAAAATAGAACCTTGCGGTACACCTGCTACAATTGTAGAAGGATCAGAACAAACGGATTTAACCTTAACCGATTGCATCCTGTTAGAAAGATAGCTCCGAAACAAGGAAACAGCACAATCAGAAACACCAATAAACCTCAGAATAGCCAACAAAAGGTTATGATTCAAAATATCAAATGCCTTGCTGAAATCAAGAAGCACAAGTACAGTAGATCTTCCCCCATCCAGAGCTCTAAAAACGTCATCTGTCAGATCAAGAAGTGCCGTGGCACAGCTATACTGTCGCCTAAAGCCAGATTGTTTCTGAGGTAAAATATGATTAGAATTTAAAAAGGATTGTAGTTGTTCCGCCATAATCCTCTCCAACACTTTGGAAAGAACCGGGAGGATGGTAATGGGCCTCAGATCTTTAAACTCCTTAACTGGATTGGCTTTAGGAACAGGAGTCACCAAACCAAACTTCCACGCACTCGGGTAAACTGACTCTTTCAAGCAGAAATTAATTATATGGCAAAGAACACTCAAAATACGAGGACAGCATAACCTAACCATATCCAGGGAAATTCCATCAGAACCAACACTAGTGGACTTAAATGAAAGTAACACACATATATGGATATGATCCTCATATATCTTTGAATGTAAAGTTCAGTGATCGAGTGGCGCAGAAGATATAATTTTGAGTTATGTTTAGGCCATCAAGAAAGTCCGACAGGTAAACCATAGGGAAGATAAAATCCTCCATGGTGTCGGGGAAGACCCTGAAGGTGTCTAGATGGCGGGGAGTTGCTAAACTTTTANAGGTCATCAAGAAAGTCCGACAGGTAAACCATAGGGAAGATAAAATCCTCCATAGTGTCGGGGAAGACCCTGAAGGTGTCTAGATGGCGGGGAGTTGCTAAACTTTTAGAATGGATTCCACAATACATTGTTGATCCGATAATGATGATGATGTTGAGTCAGCTTCTCAAGTCTCTTCAAAACTAACGATTTTAGAAGATACCTATCCTACATATCTCGGAAAGTATTAGAAATTAGCTATTAAATTTTACAGTACTTTTATCTCAGTCTTTCTTATCTTTGTTCATCGGCAAACTTATGCTATAGTTTTTTTAGCTTAACTTCTCTTTGTCTCTTTATTTATAGCTTTTTTTGTAACACATTGATTTTAATTTTCTCGGACCCCTAATCTTGTTGATAACCTATCTTGCTTATTTAATCCAAATATTTAGGTAGATTAAATATATGCATAAACACGGATAACTTTTTTTTTGATTATCCGAATTTGCTTTATTCAACACTTGAATAATTTTATGAATCAGGATAGCATACAGGAGGAAAATTGATAGAATATAGATAGAACTTACTACATGATTGCTATGGAAGCTCTATTTGTGAAATATGCCATGTGATTAGTAGCAAGAATTTTGATATTGATGAGTTTAAAAGTGTACTTACTTATTCATCGGACGTCCTTTACACGGCTCATAAGGTTCATTAAAATCCAAACTGTTGTGAAGGCTATAACATAATCCAGTGGCTCTTAATAAAACATCTTTGTTGCCCATCGCGTATCGATGGGCGCACACCATGACTACACCTCCAGGACCTTGCGATTTCACATCCACTCCCAACCACTGGCCGTCCTTCAATTCTTCTTTCGGATTTGGAGGACATAGATCATCACATTGGTCGTTTTCTTCCTCATCGTATTCGTCTTCGGCTAAATTATATATCATTTTTTAGTTACAATACAACATTTTTCAGTTTAATTTTTTAATATTTAATCCAATTCTTATTAACTTTCAAATATTGAGCAAAAAAGATTCATGATTAAATTTGACAAGGAAAGATTTGGATTAAATTTTTTTTTTAATGTTAGTTTAAAAATAAGTACAAAATAATTGATGATTATGTTAAAAAATAAACCACAAAAATGGTGTTATTTGATGTTTTATGGTGTGTAATTATTATATACAAAAGCTATAATATAAACAAAAAATTAATTATTTTGTACTTGGGATTATTATTAATAAGGTGTATTTTTTGGGTGCAAAAAAGATCTAATCAAAAATTCGAAACTTTGGCAAAAAATCGAAAAAGAAATCAAACAAGCGCATCTCTATGTACAGGTGTCCTGCTAAAACGTGCCTAAATTCGGATAAATCTCGATAAATGCAATAAAAACCCAAAAAAATCATAAAAAATTTCGCAAATAAAACCTAAAAATCAAACCTAAGAATAAATAAAGTGGTCTCAAAAAAATTAATTAATAAATGATTTAATTAATTAGTGATGTTAATCGAAAAAAAAAAATAATTAAAGCTACAACACTACTATAAGTAATTCAAAAAAATTAAATTGATTAAAAAAGATAAAAGCATTTGTTGATGTCCCGGTTTTCAATTGAAATCCATTAACTTCTCGCTTTAATAATCGAGTTAATCAATCAAAATCTGATTCCACAACGATTTGATTTGAGCGTTATGAACATCTGCGCGACATACAAGAAATGCTTTATTATGAAATTTTTATTTCTTCGTACACGAAATGAAACAGAAAACCGCCTGGTTATTATTGCATTAACGCTTTCAACTGTACATATATTACAAGGCCGATAAAAGAGTTAAAATGAAAGCTTTTAGAACGATTAGATTGTTAATGATTAGAAAAAGAAAGCAATTTCAGAATAAACAAGCGTATACAAGAGGCTATTTAAAAGAATTATTGCTGATTGAATATGTTGGAATGAATTCTAAATAGATTTATTTAGAATTTTAAGTGGGATTGTAAAAACACCAACAGATGTCCACATCTGCAACTTAACACCAAAAATAACTTTTTTAGTACAATAAAAATTTGATATAATGTCTCTAGTATTTAAAATAAAATAAAGTATTTTTTTATATAAATACAGTATTTAGAAACCGAGGCAGCTATGCTGCCGAGGCAATAGTTCTAGGTTTTCAATAATAACATATTATTGTTAAGCCGAGGCAGCTGTGCTGCTGAGGCAGTGGCTCTAGTATTTAAAATAATGTAAAGTTTTTTGTAGTACTTAGAAAAATATACAACAATCTAGCGCTGCATAACAATTAAAACTAGAACTGAGGATGCACGGCTAAACCCGAAACTTTCTAGTTCTAGGTCTAGTGTTAGTTCTAGTTTTAGTTCAATAAAAATATGGAACATAGTGATATCTAGTACTAACTAGCGCTACCTAACACTGTCATTAGAACTAACACTAGACCTAGAACTAGAACCATTCGGACCATTCAACGATTAAATTTAATGATTAAAAAACAGTTTTTACTAATTTTGAATGTCATGGAGTAGCTATAAACAAGTTCTCAATCGTTTGGACAAGCTTTTAACCATTTAGACAACTTTTTCAATTAATTGTCAATCATTTTGACAAACGTGGAATAGGAATTAACCAATTCTTAATAATTTAGACAAGTCCTCAATGATTACCAACCAGTTCTCAATTATTTTGAACGACAAGGAATAAGTACGAACCAGTTGAGAATCATTTAGACAATGATTCCGAATTAGTTAATCATATTGGATATCATGGATTAGTTATCAATAAGTTCTTAACTATTTAGACAAATTTTCAACCCAACCCAACCAATTTTTAATCATTTTGAACGATATGATAGTTCTGAACCATGTAAACAAGTTCTCAATGACCGCAAACCAGTTTTCAATCATTTTGAACAATATAAAATAGCTATGGATAATAGCTATAACCAGTTTTCAATGATTAAAAAGCAATTTTTACTAATTTTGAATGTCATGGAGTAGCTATGAACAAGCTCTCAATCGTTTGGACAAGCTTTTAACCATTTAGACAAGTTTTTCAATCATTATAAATTAATTATTAATCATTTTGACAAACGTGGAATAGGAATTAACCAATTCTTAATAATTTAGACAAGTCCTCAATGATTACCAACCAGTTCTCAATTATTTTGAACGACAAGGAATAAGTACGAACCAGTTGAGAATCGTTTAGACAATGATTCCGAATTAGTTAATCATATTGGATATCATGGACTAGTTATCAATAAGTTCTTAACTATTTAGACAAATTTTCAACCCAACCTAACCAATTTTTAATCATTTTGAACGATATGAAATAAGTACGAACTAGTTCTGAACGACATAAACAAGTTCTCAATGACCGCATAACAATTTTCAATCATTTTGAACAATATGGAATAGCTACAATGATTACAAAACATTTTTTACTAATTTTTAATGTCATAGAATGACTATGAACAAGCTCACAATCGTTTGGACAAGCTTTTAATCATTTAGACCAAATTTTTAATCATTATAAACTACTCATGAATCATTATGATACACGAGGAATAGGGATTAACTAAATCTTAACAATTTAGACAAGATCTTAATGATTACCAAAAAGTTTTGAACCATTTAGACAAGTTTTCAATGATCGCGAACCAGATTACAATCATTTTGAACAATGTGGAGTAGCTGTGAACGGATTTTTATAACGTTTAGACAAGTTTTCAATTATTTAGAATAACATGGTATAGTTATGAACAACCATTCATTTATTTAGACAAGTTTTTAATCTCCAATATAAACACCTGCATCTAAAATAATGACATCATTTTCTTTGCTTTGCTAGTATCGTTGCTCTTATCATTTNGTTTAGACAAGTTTTCAATTATTTAGAATAACATGGTATAGTTATGAACAACCATTCATTTATTTAGACAAGTTTTTAATCTCCAATATAAACACCTGCATCTAAAATAATGACATCATTTTCTTTGCTTTGCTAGTATCGTTGCTCTTATCATTTATCGCAGCTCCAACATAAACGTACCCTTAGATGCCGAAGCAGCTATGCAGTAGTTCAAGGTTGTCAATAATAACATATTATTTAGAAACGTAGAACAAGAAACATTTGGGTTTAGCCGTACGTCTCTTAAGACGGCTAAACCCAAACCAACCCTTGGGTTGGGTTGAAAATTTGTCTAAATAGTTAAGAACTTATTGATAACTAATCTATGATATCCAATATGATTAACTAGTTCGTAATCATTGTCTAAACGATTCTCAACTGGTTCGTACTTATTCCTTGTCGTTCAAAATAATTGAGAACTGGTTGGTAATCATTGAGGACTTGTCTAAATTATTAAGAATTGGTTAATTCCTATTCCACGTTTGTCAAAATGATTGACAATTAATTTATAATGATTGAAAAAGTTGTCTAAATGGTTAAAAGCTTGTCCAAACGATTGAGAGCTTGTTCATAGCTACTCCATGACATTCAAAATTAGTAAAACTGTTTTTTAATCATTGAAAACTGGTCTAAATGTCTACTAAAATCTTCTAAGTAATGCATTTGTATGACAGAAAACTTTATTTTAAATATTAGAGCCACTGCCTCAACAGCTCAGCTGTCTCGGTTTCTAAATAATGTATTTGCTAGATCTAGTTTTAGTTTTAGAACTAGAAACATTCAGATTTAGCCGTACGTCTCTTAAAGCGGCTAAACCCAAATGTTACTCGACCTAGAACTAGAAAGTTTCGGGTTTAGCCGTACATCTTCAGACATAAAAATTGTTTGGGAGTTGAGGTCCTGTACCTTTTTGGTTATTTGATCAAAAAATAATAAAATTTTAGTAACTAAATAATTTTGGAGATAAAACAGCAACCTTTTCTTCATTTTCTAGGTCGACTCACTTCCCGTAAGTAAACAAATCGTATATTTTGGTACGGCGCAGTGAAAACATCGTGTCGTCGACGGTTTTATGAGGATCTAAGAATTTTTATCGACAACAACGCGACTTAAAAAGAGAAACATTTGATAAGTGATTTTTTTGAATAATATATTTATAGGTTGACTTTGAGAAATTTAGTGGGAATCGAGCTGATTTATATCGATAATAATAACTGTATAAAAATCCCGGTGTTAAATCGGGTGATTTGTATGCAAAGTTGAGTCGACTGAAAATGGTCCGACCGAGAAACTGGTCACCGGTTCCGTATTATTCCTTGTAAAATGAACGGGTCGTTGAATCGTTTATGGTCCTTATCGGCTAGTTATTAGAGCAGTATACAATCGCGTTACTAAAACTAAATAAAAACGCGTTTAACTAAAAACAAAGAAAAAAATTAGTACAAAAGGAATCTAATTTCATTGAATGCAAAAGCAAAATACCATGCAAAAACCATGCCAATAAACAAATTTTTATTTTCTTTGAAAACTAACTCAGCAATTAATATCATATAGTTGTTAGTGGCGAGTTGTTTAAAAGAGGCGAAACAACATGCGCAAAAAATAAAATAAAAAAAAAATGTTATGGAACCGCTGGCTCGCACGTGGGGACCACCACACTTACACGTTTTGTACCTTCCGCCGGCCACTGGTTGTATTCGTTGCCCGAATCACACCGACACAAAAACAAAAACAGAAAAAAGAAAAACTGTATTACTCATCGGTTTGGGCCCAACATCAAAAAAATCTTAAATTAATTGAAAAAAAAAAAAAACATTCTCGCCAACACGTAAAAAAACGCGAGTGTAATTTAGAATCTACCTGTATGTATAGACTTTAACTATATAAATGGAAATAAACACGCCAAACTACACGTGGCTAAAACTATTTTTGATTTAGGAGAGGGTTTAAAGTCTCCTTAAATTTTTTTTAACTACATCTAGAAATTCTATGATCTATTTTTACACTGTAATGTTTCTAAAACTATCTAAAAGCTATGGGTAAAAGATAGAGGTAGAAAAAGAAAAGTTTTTGTACAAGAAAAAAGGATTTTGTTTTGGTTGTGCAATTATGATACGGTTTCTTATTTGTGTTATAAAGATAATTACTACAGTGTGTTAATTAATTATCGTACCCAACGTCATCATTGCAATTATGCAACCAAGGTAGCTCTTCGGACGAAGAAGAATCCACAGCCAACAATGAACTGGATGAGATTACCGAGATGTCATTATTGGCCAGGAACACAGTGGCACAAGAATTCTATATTTCAGAAACTAAGAGATGATACTACACTACCTTTGTCGGATAAACTATAATCTTTCCGAGACTGTCACAACCCGCCATATTTGGTCAGAATCACAATCCAACGATGAATTGACATTGTTCTCCGTTTTGGACTTAAAATCGAGTTACTGGCAGATACTGGATAGAGCTTTATATCAATGCCCATAAAAATAAACCATCCACGTTTCAAAATTTGACAACAAGAGGAGATTGAGTATGATCGAGTATTTTTAAACAACGCCTTCCACTTTACTTTCATGATTGGCATAGAAAGAGTACATATACTGTTGGTTTATATACATCCTTTCAGTAAGATAGAAGAAACAATATTTAACATGGCTGCCCGGTATGACAATTGTCTAATAATTGCTGACTTTAACCCCAACCCAGCCAAAAAAAGACACATCAACCAATTTGTGACTATGTCAAATAATCCCAACTCCAAGCCTGACTTAATCTTCTGCACAAACAACATAAGACCGCTCATCACGTATGTTAATGTCATTCCTGATCTGCATTAATACAACCACTCGAATACCTAAAGTAGCTCCTTCGAATACCTTGATCAAAAACTATAAGCTTTGTAATCTGGAAAGAGTGAACGCAAGAATAAAGGAATATGTAAAATCTAACCCTGTTATTACACCCAAGTCGATCGTAACCTCTAACATACACTTGCTAAATTTGGTGGATGAAGCAAGCCCCTCCATCATGAAGAAACAAAATAGTAATAATAATCAAGGAAAAGCGACGACTCTATTTTAGATCATATAACTTAATAAAAACATCCAAAAGCTAGTGCAGCAATTCAGAAGTGAAAAATACATCGAGGGCTGTGATAAAATCAACAGAAGCAAGGGTAAAAGCTACTGGCAAGAATCCTATGGATGGCTGCTCACACTCTAGCCCGGAAAAAATCGTAAATATCCACGCTGAATACCTTGAGAAGGTGTTTTCCTTCAGCAATGAAGGTCTTCTTCTGCCCTCACAACAAAAATATAGTAGACAATTGGTACCAACACGACTTTCTCAATTCGTCCGAAACTTCCTAGGATGCTCTTATGCAGGAGGAAAAATACTTCACACTACTTAACAGAGGAACCTGCGCAGCTCCTGGATACGACAACATCTCAAGGGAAATCTTTAGGAAGCTGGACCTTGATATCAACGCCTATATAAGAAAAATATACAACTATTGCCTTACCACCCAGCATTTCCCACAAGATTGGAAGAACCCTATCATCATATGCATCCCAAAGAAAGATTCTTCTCTATCCGACCCTGCGAACTGCCGTTCTATCTCATTGCTACCCGTAATGGGGAAGCTCTTCGAGGTACACTTGAAGAATAAGTTACTTATCTCCTTAACTTGGTAGAAAAATTTCTTTCAGACCGCTCCTCATTAGTTAAACTGAAAAGCTGCTACTCTCACAGTTTCACCACTCAACAAGATCCCTCAAGACTCTCCCATCTCAGCAGCATTGTGCAATGTCTACTGCCACGACATCTATAACGACATCTTCGATCTGAAGTCTTATGCCCTACTTTATGCCGACGATACTACTCTCGTTGCACATGATGTGGATATTCCATCATCAGTCCTAAGGTTGCAGACACTTATCCAAAACATACAGGAATGGTACCGAAAATGGCGTATCCTAATAAATCCTTCCAAAACCCAATTCTTCATCCCCTTCCTCCCAGCTCGTGTTGCTCCTTCCACAATAATAATTCAATCTTCTCCTATCACAGCTTCACCAACTTGCAACTACCTCGAAATTACCTTGGATAAAACCCTTAAATTCAATTCACTTTTCAACCCTTCTAACGAAGTCTTATACGACCTTACAAAGATTCCTGCCATAAACTCCCGTTTAGATCCCTTATCCCTTGAAGCAACTATAAACTTCCCTATAAACGCCCTCTCCCTCACCCATTGTCCCATCACATGGCTCACAATGCTTGAAAAAATAAGACCTAACTGAGAAGACGGAAAACCAAACACAATTCAAGTCACGGGCAGGAAGACTCAGGTTTATAGCCCTTTTGGAGCTATCGTATATTTGTTTTATATGTGTATATTTCTTTTTTTTTTATTTATTCGTATTTGTAATAAGTCCAAATAAATGTTGTTCTTTCTTTCTTCGTATAAAATCCAGTTCTTGGAATATGAGTATGACAATGTTTGAAAAATAACTTTAAACAATATTTGAAGTTTTGATAAAATTTTCAATGTAAATGTTGAATTCGCTATAAAATTAATTTCTTGAAGGATTCTTGTGGAAATATCATCAATTATTAATTAAAGTATCCTCTTTTTAATATAAAAAGCCGTTTTGAAAAATTACTTTTAGTTTTTGAGAAATAAATTTTTGAAATGATCGAGTATTTTTTCGAATTTTGCAATTTTCGCCGATTAAGTTTTAAAAATTCGTATAAAATCCAGTTTTTGGAATATAAGTATGAAAATTTCCTAAAGTGTTAATAAAAGTGTCCTCTTTCCAATGAACCAACCGGTTTTGAAAAATAACCTTTAGTTTTTGAGAAAACAATATTTGAAGTTTTGATAAAATTTTCGATGTTGCAATTTTCATCGATAATTTTCAAAATTCGCTATAAAATTAATTTCTTGAAGGATCCTTGTGGAAATATCACCAATTATTAATTAAAGTATCCTCTTTTTAATGCAACAAGCCGTTTTGAAAAATCACTTTTAGTTTTTGAGAAATACATTTTTGAAATGATCGACAATTTTTTCGAATTTTGTCATTTTCGCCGATTAAGTTTTAAACATTCGTATAAAATCCATTTCTTGGAATATTAGTATGAAAATTTCCTAAAGTGTTAATAAAAGTGTCCTCTTTCCAATGAACCAACCCGTTTTGAAAAATAACCTTTAGTTTTTGAGAAAACAATATTTGAAGTTTTGATAAAATTTTCGGTGTTGCAATTTCTTGAAGGATCCTTTTTGCTAGATCGACGTGTTTTCAGTAATATTAATTCCCAAACGCCATTCTGTTATAAAACGCAATCATAAGACAGTTTTTTTATAGCAAAAATGTGGTCAATATTTCAAGTTTGAAAAAGCACAACAGTATAAGCTTTTTTGTGAAAAATTGAAAAATTTTAACTAATACCTAATCAATAGGATATGATGGCTTTTCTAGGAGAAGATGGAAGTTTTTTTTTAATTCTCGAACTCTGCTTGGATTTTCTTATGCACTCTACAAGATATCAATCTGAAATTCCACGCATACCAATCGCACTATAATCGACTTGGGTTCCCCAGAAACTTGTCCTCGACAAGTGGCAAAAATGCAAGCAACTGGTTCCCGGATTCATTACGCCCATTTTCATGCGGCTGAGAGAGTCGGTCGACGCCATCAAATTATCTCTCCGGCTTATTACTCGTTTTTAATGAGCGATCCTCTCGACGTCAATTCGTTTCTTTCAGAAATCCTCGATGGATACACTTCACGGATTGAGATACGATGGATGTCGTTCGGGAAGAAACTTTGCAGTTATGTATTAACGAAGCAACTCGCGTAATTGTATAAATTACCGGGTGGAAGCGCCTAATTGGCGTTCAGGTTTTCGTAACGTAATTGCACAACCTTTATAAGACCACGTTCGTGTTGCCCACAACCAAAATACCCCCGCTGAAAATTTACAGCACGTTTCAACCGAATATAAAATTCAATAAGATTGTTTCGAGAAGATAAATACTCACGTCGTCTTCCATCCGTGCGTATTTGCTCGCAATTTTCTTGGGATGTTATTGGACATTTGAAAAGTGCTCCTGAACGATTTGTTAATGGTTGCAAGTTTTGCCCTAAAGGTGCTCCAACTAATAACCTGAAACAAAATAAAAAATGCTTAATAAAGTTTAATATTAAAATGTGACTCATAAAAACATAATGTGGGGGAGACGAAAACTGCTACAAAATGTAGATTTATTATCTAGGAATCGAAGGAAACTCCTGACTCATCCAACTTTATTTTCTCTTGTTGTGCAGATTTGGAAGTCTGAATCGATATCTATGAACGCGTTTTATCCTTGTGGATGCAATCCAAAAGTTAGGCCATCGACCTACAAATTGAAACCTCCAAGAATAAGATCAAAGCTAACTGTACTAATCAATGACATAATTAGTGACACAATCAATTCGAATAACTTCAAAAAAATCAAAATTATGTAAGTTATCAAAATCACAATTAACATAAATCAAAATTCATGGTGAAAATTGCACTTTTGGACGACCCAGAAGAGAACAAAATGTTGGGTGGAAATACCGCGAAGAAAAACGATAACGAAAAATCAAGTTCCGGTGATGACAAATCTGATGGTGGAAAATCTGACGATGAAATCGACGATGATGATGACGCCTCCGGTGACGTAGATAACAGTTCATCTTGCGAAAACGTTAATTCAGATCAAAAAAAGGCCGTTGATAATTGTCAACTCCAAACAGATAAAGTTGACAACGCTGACGATTCAATTCTCGTTAAAAGAAACACTAAAATAAACGGGAAAGTTAAGAAACGTCAGAGATCATCGTCCAAAAAAGAGGAAAACAACGAAGATGGCGAAAATAATAAAGGTAATAAAAGTGGTGAAGACGACGATGGTATTGAAGAGGATGATGATGGTGATGATACGGATATAGACGATGATGATTCCAGTGATAGTAAAAAAGAATCTCAATCTTACGCGCGTCGACGTAGGAGGAAACGAAAAAGGGGGCGAAGCGGACGAAGTAGAAGTCGTAGGAAGAGGCGAAGAACAAGAAGTAGAAGTCGGAGAAGGAGTCGAAGAAGAAGACAACAGTCTAGTAAATGTGTTAGTAAGAATGGTAAGAAACGAAGAACAACACCCAAGAAAAAAAAATCTGCGTTGCGTTGGTGGGATGATTGATAAAATTTTTTATTTGTGTATTTTACAATTATCTTGTGGATTTTATTAATATTAAAATAACAAATTAGTAGTTATTTATTGTCTAATTTTATATTTAGAAACACCATACACGATAAAGATAAGATGTTCAAGTGTACTACTTAAGAAGTGTGCCTGGTTCATTTTTTAAGCGATAAAAGACCCGAAATAAACTTAATAATAAATATAAAAGGAAGTTGAGGTTGGGTATATCACCAATTATTCATTAAAGTATCTTCGTTTTAATGCAAAAAGTCGTTTTGAAAAATCACTTAGTTTTTGAGAAATAAATTTTTGAAATAATCGACAATTTTTTTGATTTTGCAATTTTCGCCGATTAAGTTTTAAAAATTCGTATAAAATCAATTTCTTGCCAGTCTTCTCAAGACATTCGCACGGATCACGCGTGATTCGTGTTCTTTCCGTAAATAAGTGCATTTTACTGGAAATTGGAGACCAAGAAATTAGCGACGAGCTGAATTTACAGAAACTATCGCATAGATTCTGCAAAAGAATAATTTCAAAAGCCACTAACAATCCAACCTATAAGATTAGAATAATCACAGGATGCGTTGATTCGTACCAAAGGCTACTCCAAGAGGGTTTTTTTTATAAAAACTGTCATTTCCCAGTTTACGAGAGCCGTCCTCCACCACCAATTCCAATTCCATGCAGTAAATGCCATGATTTTGCTCACACGACCGATAACTGTAATGTTCCAGTAAAATGCTCCAAATGCTTGGGTCCACACAGCACCACCAAATGTACCTCCCAACTACCAGAGAAATGTAGATCCTGTGGCATTGAAGGCCATAGTGCCTGGTCTATGATATGCAAAAATCGACCCAAAGCACCTATACAACACGGTGCGATGTTCGTTGAAACTAAAGCCAAATCGCTAATTAACTTCAGGGATTGGACAATGATCCAAGAATTGGGAAATATTGTGAACAGGGGTGTCAGAGGCGGAGCGGTGGTTATGGGCGATCCTGCGTTACAAATTGNAATTTTCAAAATTCGCTATAAAATTAATTTCTTGAAAGATCCTTGTGGAAATATCACCAATTATTAATTAAAGTATCCTCTTTTTAATGCAAAAAGCCGTTTTGAAAAATTACATTTAGTTCTTGAGAAATAAATTTTTGAAATAATCGATATTTTTTTCGAATTTTGCAATTTTCGCCGATTAAGTTTTAAAAATTCATATAAAATCCATTTCGTGGAATATGAGTATGAAAATTTCCCAAAGTGTTAATAAAAGTGTCCTCTATCCAATGAATCAACCCGTTTTAAAAAATAATTTTTAGTTTTTGAGAAAACAATATTTGAAGTTTTGATAAAATTTTCAATGTTGCATTTTTCATCGATAATTTTCAAAATTCGCTATAAAATTAATTTCTTGAAAGATCCTTGTGGAAATATCACCAATTATTAATTAAAGTATCCTCTTTTTAATGCAAAAAGCCGTTTTGAAAAATCACTTTTAGTTCTTGAGAAATAAATTTTTGAAATGATCGACAATTTTTTCGAATTTTGCAATTTTCGCCGATTAAGTTTTAAAAATTCGTATAAAATCCATTTCTTGGAATATGAGTATGAAAATTTCCCAAAGTGTTAATAAAAGTGTCCTCTTTCCAATGAACCAACCCGTTTTGAAAAATAACTTTTAGTTTTTGAGAAAACAATATTTGAAGTTTTGATAAAATTTTCCATGTTGCAATTTTCATCGATAATTTTCAAAATTCGCTATAAAATTAATTTCTTGAAAGATCCTTGTGGAAATATCACCAATTATTAATTAAAGTATCCTCTTTTTAATGCAACAAGCCGTTTTAAAAAATCACTTTTAGTTCTTCAGAAATAAATTTTTGAAATAATCGACAATTTATCGAATTTTGCAATTTTCGCCGATTAAGTTTTAAAAATTCGTATAAAATCCATTTCGTGGAATATGAGTATGAGAATATTCCAAAATGTTAATAAAAGTGTCCTCTTTCCAATGAACCAACCCGTTTTAAAAAATAATTTTTAGTTTTTGAATAAACAATATTTGAAGTTTTGATAAAATTTTCAATGTTGCATTTTTCATCGATAATTTTCAAAATTCGCTATAAAATTAATTTCTTGAAAGATCCTTGTGGAAATATCACCAATTATTAATTAAAGTATCCTCTCNTGTAAACCGCATTCACGGTGCGATGTTCGTTGAAACTAAAGCCAAATCGCTAATTAACTTCAGGGATTGGACAATGATCCAAGAATTGGGAAATATTGTGAACAGGGGTGTCAGAGGCGGAGCGGTGGTTATGGGCGATCCTGCGTTACAAATTGGAAAAGCTAACCCTCCCAGAATAAATTCTCCACTAAACAACGCCCTCCATTTTACTTTTATGATTAGCACAGAAAGAATACATATATTGTTGGTTTATATACATCCTTTTAGCAAAATAGAAGAAACAATATTTAACATGGCTGCACGGTACGACAATTGTCTAATAATCGGTGACTTTAACCCAAACCCAGCCAAAAACAGACACATCAATCAATTTGTGAATATGTCAAATTTTGTGCGCATCGCAACACCTCCGACGTTTGTAATGGCAAATAATCCCAACTCCAAGCCTGATTTAATCTTTTGCACAATCAACATAAGACCGCTCATCACGTCTGTTAATGTCATTCCTGATCTGTGCTCTGACCATCTGGGTCTTGTGATCTGCATTAATACAACCATTCGAATACCTAAAGTAGTTCCTACTCTGATCAAAAACTATAAACTTTGTAATATGGAAAGAGTGAACGCAGGAATAAAGGAATATGTGAGATCTAACCCTGTTATCACACCCGAGTCTATCGCAACCTTTAATAAACGCTTGCTTAATTTGGTGGATGAAGCGAGCCCTTCTTACAACAAGAAACATTACAATTTCCCTCTGCCACCATTTATTCTCCGTTTAATTAGGAGCCTGCTCTGAAAAGAATGTTCAATGAGCTTAATAAAAATATCCAAAAGCTAGTGCAGCAATTCAGAAGTGAAAAATACATTAAGGCCTGTGATAAAATCAACAGAAGCAAGGGTAAAAACTACTGGCAAGAAGTCCGCAAACTTTCGAAGTACCAAAAGTCCCCAGAAACCCAGGAACTTATTGACCCTACGAATGGCTGCTCATACTCTAGTCCGGAAAAAATCGTAAATATCCACGCTGAATACCTTGAGAGGGTGTTTTCCTTCAGCAATGAGGCCCTGTTCTGCCCTCACAACAAAAACACAATAGACAATTGGTACCAACACGCCTTTCTCAATTCGTCCGAAACACCTCAGGATGCTCTCATGCAGGAAGAAGAATACTTCACACTTCTTAACAGAGGAACCAACACAGCCCCTGGATACGACAACATCTCAAGGGAAATCTTAAGGAAGCTGGATCTTGATATCCACGCCTACATAAGAAAAATTTACAACTATTGCCTTACCACCCAGCATTTCCCACAAGATTGGAAGACCTCTATTATCATATGCATCCCCAAGAAAGATTCTTCTCTATCCGACCCTGCGAACTACCGTCCTATCTCATTGCTACCCGTAATGGGGAAGCTTTTCGAGGTGCACTTGAAGAACAAGCTGCTCGATGTTGTTGCAAGGAGGATTCCGTCATACCAATTTGGATTCCAACAAGGTAGATCTACATCTCATCCCTTGGCAGTGCTTGTCTCAAACTTCCAAGTAGCACGTTTCAAAAAACAACAATCCGCCGCAGTCTTCCTGGATGTTCGGCTTTAAAATGTCAATCTTTTAAT